CCTTCCAACCCCCCCCCCCTTCTCCCCCTTATTTTGTCCGTTGCGAGGGGGATACTTTCCTTGTACCAATGCATAATTTCTACCTGCTATACCATTTTAAAAGAGTGCGATTTTTGTTTGGTGTGGTGTGGGCGAAGAAAAGGGGGTAGCTTGTACGTAAGATATGCTAATAAATTGAAATGCGGTGAATTACTGTTAGTGAAGAAAAGAGGTGGAAGTTGTAGGGTTCGCAAATCAGGATCTCGAGCGAGATGGAATTGGACATTCATTGTATGTATGTACAAGGAATAGTAGAGTGTAAACACGAAAGAAGCTTCTCTGGATTTTATACTCTGCTATAACAGCCTTCCTAGATTGTGGGTTTTCTACAGATTATCTTTGAAGTGGAAGTCTGCGTTAGTAGGGAAGGATGGTGGGTTGGAGGGGGAATAGGGGAATAGGGCTGGTGAGGATGGATGACAAAGTGTTAGGCTTTGGATCGCGTTTTATTGCAAAATTGGGGTTTTGCTGTTGGTGTTGATTTTCGCTTGTTGGCTGGTGTTGATAGAGTTTATATATTGAACTTCACGCTCTGGTTCTTACCTTCTAGAATCTTAGACTTGTGCGAAATGTTTGCATCATGAAGGGAACAATTGTTTTGTTGTTTAAGGCGTTAAGGTTGATGTTCTATCCCGTATTTACTTGAAGATTTGCGAGAGGTGAGATGATTTGATGTACAACGGAATCAGTCTGGACGGAACTGTGAGGGAGGACACTAGATGGAAGTTGGACAGAAACATACACTGAGAGTGTCTCTTCGGGTCCTGAACAAACGTCGGAATTTCCCCCTCGAACAAAAGGCTCTCTTTTAGCATCTACAAGTAAGCAGAGCTATATAACATCGAGATAGTGAAAACGTTTGAGAACTATTACAATGACACTTTGCTTAATTCCGAGCTAACTAATTTCTTTAATGTATTTTTGTAATTTGGGTACTTAGCGTTTATGATCTGTTTTTAAATAAATGGTGTACAAGGTATAAACTTCGACGTTCTTTCAGGACCCGAAGAGAGTGTGTCTAAAGTGGGAAACCTGAGAGGCTGGACAACGTACAACACTTGACACAAGGGATTATATTTGTCAGGATCTACCCTGTTAGGAGTGGTGGGAATAAGTGAAATATAGCATTCGAGCTTCTTGAAGACTTCGCAGATTTGAGCTCAGTGCACTTAACAGGGGATAATAGTCGTAAATTGATAACAAAGAGCCGTAAAACTAAGAACCTTAGAAATTTCCTCCCGCAAAAGAACTCTCAATCTAGCTACCTGTATTAGAAGCACCACTCGTCCCATGTTGCTGATTCTCAGTACTCTGAACACCGACATTGAACTCACCGAGAGAATCGGGATTCGAAACTAAGTTTTGGAACTGTTGCTGATCATGAGGTGCTTGCCCAGCTGTAGTTGCGAATGAGCCAGCAGCCAGGTTTTGGAATTGCTGTTGCTGGCCTTGCTGGGTCGCATTAAGGCTTTGTCCAAATGGAGGTAGCGTGTATTGGTTTGCATTTGGAGCAGGATTCATGACTTAGGGGTTGGGAAATTGTTGTTGCGTGGTACCGAAATTTGGGCCTGTGGGATTATTTTGGTTTTGGAATTGGTTGTAACCTTGTTGAACCGGTTGTTGGAAGTTGTTGGGCAGTTGAACTTGTGGCTGCTGTGGCGTTTGTGAACCATAGGGTTGATTGAAGATAGAGTTGTTGGACTGAGGTACTGTGCCGAGTCCTACGCCACCCATGAGGCCCATTCCAGGTCCACCGTTTTGTTGGGGTCAGTCGATGTTTGAACATGGTCATATTCTGCCAGCTACGCCGGGATTTCGGAGTCAGCTTCATTCGTAGATGATACTGCAGGAAGTAGAGGATCGCAAACACGCAGCAAGGTAGATTCGTCTGCTTACAGCAACAGCAGTCTGGAATGCATTTCGAAGTTGTCTACCGTTCCAGCCTATACCTCGTTTCATGATCTGCTTCTTGTATAGATTAATAGCGTAACAAAGAACTTCATTCTCATCAATGCAAAGCCTAGGGGTGACTTCTCGGGCTCGAATAATGTTCCTTCGCCAGATCTTGATTGTTTGGTCTTCGGTAAGGATTTGATAAAGGAGACTCATATGAATCCTTGAGCGAAATTCCTATAGCTGAATTAGTGCAAGGCTTCCAGGCATGGAAGCCACACCATATAAGATGTCAGTTTACCTCGTCAATTGTTCCCACACGGTTGGTAGTCAAGAAGAGAATCCCACTGTAGTATTCTAAACTTCTAAGGAATACTTTTTTTAATGTCAGGTTAGTTCCAAAGCGCATCTTTTGTTTCTTGAACCTGATATAAACCTTATACTTACTTGAGACCAGTGCGTTTCTTTCAATATCGGTCTGAGTTCTTTGCGCAAGAAACACATCGGCTTCGTCAAGCAAAAGAACACATCCCCATGATTGCGCCAGTTGAAAATTGAAATCAAGATTAGCTTCCACTTCCATGGGCTTTAAGCCGAGATCACCTATACATAAATTAGACTCAAACGTGACTCGGACCGCACATAAACTTGAAAATATTGTAGCAAGCTAGGGGTTTCGAAAAGGTAGTAGTATATATACCGCAAGTAATGGGAAACAGCGGTCTGCCATTAGCCTCCGCGACACATTCTGTTTATTTATCAGCAATTGCAGTAGGGTAACTATGGATACTGTTGATGCATAAAACGTACCAGCTGTTGATGTTTTGCCAACGCCAGGAGCTCCATGTAGTAGAATAATTAGACCCTTCCCTATGAAAGCTTAATTCCGCATAGTTCTAGCAGATAGTGTATACCAATACCTTTAGACTTCACCAAATCAAACCCAAAGCCTCTATCATCCTTTACCGACTTCTGCTCAATCTCTTTGTTCTTAAAATGTGTCTCAACAAGTCCATGTACAATCTCCTTGTGGTTACCTGGAAGCTCTAAGCCATCAAAACCGCCACTAATCTGACTGACAGGTCGCAGATGGGCTAGAGGTAGAGACGCTATAACAAGGATATTAGCATTTTCAAAGTGCGCTCGTTTGTTTAGCTGCAGCTTACCCCATTTACGGCTTCTGAGGATGAAGCCGAACACTCGGCTTGGACATAATTTGTAGTCGCTTCGTGAAGGTTTCAAGTCGGTTCGTGAAGAATCAATATTTCGAAGTATAGGGTCTCCTATGACGACATCGTCCATCCTCTGCTGGTCCCAGCGAAAGTCAGGTAATATGTATTCGTTTCCACAGCAATCGGGGCGAAAACAATGCCCTCATGGATGGGGAGGTACCTGTGGTATTCTTTCTATCTCTGGGGAAAGCCTAAAAGACACTCTATTGTATTGGCGCCAGTCAGAGCTTTTTGTCATTTCCACTGTTTCACTACTATTCGGCTCGAGGAATATTGGCGTCTCAAACTTCGGGGTCCAACTTGGATTAAATTGAAAAGTACGGTCAAAATCCACAATAATCTGACTATCGACGTCTTCTGGATGCAGTTTGCTGTCTAGCTTTGAGCCCGTTGGAGTGGATACCTGGGTTCTCCCATCGAAGTGCATGTGGCTTAACTTGGTGGAGTCAATAAATTGTTCACCAATATCTGTCATATGCTGCAACAATTTCTCGGCGTCTTCTTTGAAGTTGGCTGGGTAGACAGTCAAAGATTCGATGTCTCTTGCTCCTTCAAATGGCGCAATCAGAAACCGGCGCGTGACAATACCAAAGCGCGTTCCATCAAAATCAATATAATAACAATCGATCTATACTCATTAGCAAAACACTTTTTGTACATTCTGAGTAATTTGCAGAGGTCAGAATTACCGTGAAAAATCGCTCCTTTGGGACGCTTGGACTAGCAGCATCTGTGTCAGTTGATTCTGTAGACAGCAACGATCTCCCACCCGTAACCTGCAGAATTCTTAAAACTCGTTGACCTGTCTGGGCAAACACGTAATCACCAGGGTTGAAAAGATACCAAAGATTGTGGTAAACCACCTCCGGTCTAAATTTGATATTAGATAGGGTTAGAGATTCCAACTTCGGCGTCAAAGTAGGTTCTCGGAGACTTTCTATCGTTGGCTTAAGGGCATCCAGAAACCTGAGTAGGCATTTCAAATCGAGCAAGCATTCCATCGAGTATTCTGATTCGAATGGATCAGCCGGAGTTCCGTAATTTGTGGTTTCTGTCCCGGGTTTTCGAATACTGGCAGGTCCTCATTTGTCAAGCGTGAGTCGCTGTCTTGGTCTTCATTGCCGCGGTGTTTACCATCCACTCGGGAAGCAATAGCAGTGTTTATATCGGAGGAGTCGTGTGGTATCGCCAATTTGGCCTCGAGTTTGTCTTTAGCATCCCTCAAATCACACTCATGGTAGATTAGTGGTTTATATGGTCTAAGTACCACAACGCTGCTACCCAGCGCAAAGTTGAGGAAAGCACCACCAATCGTCGTCCTTAAAAATACGAGGATTTGTCGAGAATTTATTCTGATCCTTTCTGGGATAGTCTCAAAGGGGAGGATTGACTCCTCGCTACGTGAAACATAAGACTCTTCCTTTGCTAAAAAGACCGTAGGCTTTTGTTCTTCATGGAAGAGAACTGAGGGACCAATCAAAACCTCAATTGCAGGTCTTGGTGATCTTGATGCTCCCATAAAGTTATTTCGAAGGTCCTTGAACTCATACCAATTCAAAAATCTCATCGTCGGGATAGAAACGGGGTCCATGGGCGACTTTGGTCGTGGAGGTAAAGGGATAGCTTTTGGGGGTTTGTTTTCTACGAGAGCTAGCCTTTTTTCAAGGGATTTTATCCTCTTTTCGGTGATTTTTACATGATGGCGATGCTGTCTCATTCGACGAAAAGCCACATCTGATTTCCTATTGTTAGCATTCGCTTATCCCCGCTTTTAGTAGACTTACTGCTATCGACAGAATCGTTGTAACTATATAGAGATTCAAGACTATCATCGCTGTTAGAGTTCTCCCGATCATCATCGTGAGATACCACAGATTCATTTTCGTATGTGTCATCAGCTGGACTCTCCTGCTTGGAGGACTTGCACTCGGTATTGTCTGTGACTTCATCGATCGCCGCCTCAGATGACGCTTTGATTCCATCTCTTTCCTTGTTGATATTCGAAGTAGCTATTGGTAATTCACTACTCGGAATGACATTTTGTCTTGTCAAGGGCTCGATGGATGCGCTGGGGTCCATCTGCGTATTTGTATCCTCAGAGGAAGCCATTTCCTGAATGGTACTGTTGACCACAAAGCTGTATATCAAATTACCAGAGAGAGCCGTGAGAGTGATGTTATGGCGTAAGATGCCGAAGATGAAGGAAGTTTTCTTTCGTGGGGAGGACCCAATATCCGTTTTCGTGAGGCTGGAAGCACATCAGCGGCGGGCGGCCAATAATCGTGAATGGCCCCCAATCCGCACCCATACGGCTGTCGCATCCATGTCGGTTAATCCTCTCGGCTCGAAGAGGGCAATAACGAGGAATCCTCCCCGGATGAACTTGATCAGTATTTGGAAGAAATTCTGCTGCTGATATTCAACGTCGGAACAAAACTCTTGTCCACAAAACGACACCGGTTTCCGTTTTGAATTCACCGCGGGAATTTGGAGTGCCTCTTAGCATACATTAAAGTACGCACAGGATAAGAGAGGAGTCCGTGGCGGCATTGCATATCTTACAGTACAAGGATATGTCAGATATTATCCGGCAGCACACCACCTTCTACCACAAGCGCTAACTGAGCTGTAGGCAGACAAGGCTGCCACCAGCATCCTATTTTCATTCCTATTCAAAGACTCAGCCATACCAAACGCGATGTCCAAACCCCTTATCCCTCAATCCAAGATACACAGCGGTTCCTGGAAAATGGAGTCTCTAATGTCTGAACCCCTGATGAAGAAAGCCTCGACCCTTCCAACGAAGTTCATGGAGACGAAAGCCGTCAATCTTCACGAGGCGTATAGAAATACGAGTTCTCACTACGATCAAAAAAAGAAGGAATACATACTTTCAAGGAAGGAGGATGATGTCGTTGAGTAAGTGGCCATATTGGGGATTGTCAAGTCGTAATCTTATAGAATACTGACTCTAGTAGCATCGAAACTGTAGCAAGAGAAAAGGAAGCTGAAAGACAAACGGCCCACTTCAGAACTATTATCGTGGCTTTTTCTGAAGCGAACTCGTTGCCCAAGAATCTCAAAGGCTTTGCTATCCGAGGGGCCCATGACTGGGACGAAGTAGGTGACTGGTACTTTCCTAACTTGAAATTTTCAGTATCGAAAGGGTGAAAGCTTACTCTCCCATTCTGTAGGTATTAGAAACAGTAGATTCAGCCAAAGAGGCGTACGGAAATAAAGCCAAAGGTAAAAAAGGAATCCATATAAGAGCCGGCAGAGGCATGAGTAACAAAGCCAACGACCTCTCTCCGTGGCTGGAGCTTCTTCCTAATGGTGATTACTCATCAATGATTTGTGGTGGGTTGAAATTTGTGTTTGGTGTAAGTCTGACAGGAAGAAAATTGAGCGTAAACTAACCAAAGTATAGGCTGCCGCAGCTCAGGCAAATGTGAGAAACAAGATAATGGAAGCAATTGAAACTCTGCCCGAAGAAATCGAAGAAGCGAATGACACACTCGAGCGGTTCCGAAGAGTAGGTGACTACAAGGCAGACTAGAAGTTGAGAAAACTATCCCTGGAATTATACTTGAGCATTTTGACTGCCATTGAAGGAATGTTGAAGTGGCTCGACGAGCCTGCCTTTAGTAAGTACATAACATTTCGTTACAGGGCTTGCTTGCTAAAATACAAACACAGAGAAAATTATGAAATCTCTCGCTCGGCAAAATTCGTATGGAGATGACGTCGGTGATAGCATCGAATGGTGGCTAGACGATCACAACTCTTTCGAAGAGCAGCAAAAGCACTTGCTCAAGCTGTGGGAGTCGAGGCACTGGAGGTGGCTAGGGAGACAAAATCATTAACGAACCAAAGCTTCACCATGGGTGCCATGAATTATGCGCTGGCTGAGGATATATATAAGCAAGGCGAAAGCTCCCATTCGTCGCTTCAAGATGCCATCAAAGATGGATTGGCTTCGGTAGCTAAGACTGGAACCCACTCGATCCTTGAAGAGGGTTTGGATGCTTTTATATTGCTGACGACGAAATCAGAGTGTAAGAAAGTGTTACCCCTGTGAGAGAGTATTACTAACGAGCACTGAGGGTTGAATAACATGTACCATCACAAGATAGATCATTTAGGAAAGATGCTAGAGGCGATACAGCAGAGTCAGAGTAAGCACATGTATTGATGATGCAAGTATCTCTGCTTACTTATACATTGAGTCAATTGCTTCTTAGCCAAAAGCAATTTCTTCAACCTGCTGCTCCCCAGAACAATATCAATCGAGTCATGCTCCAAAACATTTTGGCCATCAATATCAACATGACAAACGATAGTCTCGAAAAAATGATTTCCATAGGAAGAACAGAGGAGGAAAATACCCACGGTCTCACCGAAAAGTTGATGGAGAATCGACAGTTCCTTAATTGGTTTCAATCTAGTGGGTCACAATTGCTGCTCTTGAGAGCCGTCGCAACCGAAAACATTTCTCCGTTGTCGAACTTTTGCGCGATGCTGGTAAAGAGCTTGAAGAATGTTCAACCAGCAATCACATTGCATTATTTTACTAGTGTACACAGAGTACTAAGGGGAACCGACATAGAACATGGCCAACATTTACTGCGATCACTCATCGCCCAGCTTTTGCAGCATTGGCCTGACGGTCATCTGCTACCATCCAATTTGGACCTTAGCGGTATCAGTAATCACGGTTTTGAATCCCTCTGGCTGTTATTTGTCGCCGCAATAACAAGTTTTGAGGGTGCAACAATTTTCTGCACCATCGACGGTTTGCTGAAATATCCTCGCGAGCAAGAAGCAATTGTGTTGGTTCATCGCCTTTGGGAACTATCGGAAGCTTTGCAAACAGTCACACTCAAAGTTCTTATAACAACTCCTATCCCACCAAGATTGAGAGACTTCGTCCCGGCAAACAACCAGGTAATCATCGATACCGATACAAGCGATAGAACGGATTCGAATGTTGGCAATGGCTTGAGTCCGACGGTTACGAGACAGTTTGCCAGAGGAAGATCGGGAAGTCCATTTAGCCGGGAGCCGCTCAACATCTTGTGAAGACTTACGTTGTCTCGAAAAATGCTGGGAGGAACGCAGCACAGTGATTCAAAGATGTTGGAAGAAACGCGAAAGCAAAATCTACGCGACGTATTGTCTCGGTCCCTCTCGGCTCGGCGTTAGGGTGTAAGTCACATGATGAGACTTCGCGAAATTTCAACAATTGTTTTAGGGAAATTGAGGAGGTTATAAGGCGTTTATTGGAATGCAGGTCTCACTGGCGATGAACGTGGCTGTTTCGAATTTTCAGCCCACTGAGCCTGAGACATGGACGTCTTGTTTGTCGGGTTTTGATGTTAGGGATGCAATGTGGATTTGACTATTTTGATGATCAATGGTTTTGCAGGTTGGGATGTATTGCATATTTTGAATATTCTTCTTTTTCATCGCAAATTACTTGGGAATGAAAGCTTTTTTTTAATATGGCTTTAAAGAATCCGTTTCAGAATTCTTGAAGGTGTAAAATTCGCATATTCAATGTTAAGTGTACGACTGTGACGACACGTACGATGTGTTGCTCAAGGAGCGTCCAAGGTGTAGGTTATGGAATCGTAGAACTGTCTATTCGAAGATTCTAAGCTGAGGAGAAGAGGAGAGCTCGAGAGAGCTTGAGTCTAAATACAATGTGGTTCGCTAAGGAAGCCACGTGATACGAATGGCACGTGACGGTCAGAACCCTCACAACGACAAGCAAAATGAGTACTTGTGTCATGAATTGTCCATTCGTGTCACTATATTCTATGAAGAGCTTCTCTGGGTTCTCCATATAAGGAGCATGGTCTATGGCCAGTGATTGTTTGAATTTCTGCAGAGGCCGCAACATGAAGATAATGCAAGTTGAGTCAAGCATAATCAATCAATTTCTCATCTATCTATCATAAATCCCACCATCCTTCCCATAGATATCGGCCAAGAGACAAGAGAAACAAACAAAATAATAGGCCAGACTTAACGATCCAAGACCACAGAGTGCTACATGGGCAATCTTAAGAAGATAATGACAAGGAAACTCCAGCCCCTTATTTCCAAAGCATCCGAAAGAGATACCGACAAAAATAAAGTATGACTCGCACACTCTTCAAAACCTCATCACCTGTATGAGAAAGACAAACAAAACTCTCCGCCCAATGTCTGTGATACCACGAAGTCCCCAATAGCCTCCCACTACAAGAATATACCATCGAAACAGCATCTAGCGCTATTTTCCGCGCTTGTTATGAAGAAGATCTCGAGCTGTGAGGGTACTGTTGGAAGTTGAGTTACTCAAAAGCGTCGAATTGCTTATTATTGTCGTGTTGTTGAAAAGGGTTGAATTACTGAATGTCGTAGAGTTGCTATAGATAGCAGGTTCGCTAGACTCGTCTCGGGGCAGTATGGCCCTAGGCGTAAGGTTTCTAGGAATCCATCTTGGGACTATAGTCGGTCCACTGGTAGTATCGCTGGATGTCGATGTGGAAGATGTGTTCGTAGAGTTTGTGCTATTTGATAAAAGGCCCGGAGTCACAATAGGAAACGGTGGTAAGGTGTCCGCTTGTCGTGTTCTGGGAAGATGTTAGTCCATTGTATTTTCCACGAGCCAAAGAAGACCTTCCTGAATCTTACTGCATTGCAGTCAGCTATCAAACCAAGGCCAAAGAGACTGAGCAAAAGAGTTTTGAAGGCAATCATCTTCGAGATGTATATAGGATAGAAGATACTAATGAGAAGAACTTGTCGATGTGATTGTTACTTGAACTTTGAGTCTGACTCTTCAAAGTATTATATAGCTTGAAGATGAAAATGAAGATCCTGGTCTGAATTCAAATGATGGCAGAGGGGAATGCAGCCAACACGCATCTGACGTCGTTGATTCTGTATCAAGACGCCCTGAGATACAAATTAAATTTGAACCTCAAGCCTCTCCCGGCCCCTTCCAACCAACATTAAAACCTTCTGTGCTTTGACACTCGCTTAACCGCCTACAAGTAGAGCCTAGCATTCCAACCCTTAAAAACGTCTTGAATACCAACCAACCTTCAGCAGGCTTCGGAAATATACCTTGTATCAAGTGATTAAGGAATGGATCATGGCCGAATTAACCTAATGAAGTGACCAAAAAACGTGGTCATATGTTTCGCCCTGACATTTTAGCACGCGATGCGCCATTACGGAACTCGTGAGAAGCTTAAGACGCGATGGGTATCTAAACTCCCTTCTTCTTATCTCAGGGTCGTCAAAGATAAGAAAATGGGGAGTCACAAGGTTCAATAATTGATTTCTGATTGAAGTTGAAAGATGGGATCAGCTGGGGGGGGGNGGGCGGTGCCAAGCCTCGGATGAACAGTTTATCCGAGGCTACGCCGGCCTACCTGTATCGCAACTTCTTTGAGTGGAGGGTGAATGTGTACTTGACATTCACATCCACAACACCAAAGGATTCACCATCGCCAGGTATTGCGCCTGGCCTAGCGCACCAGCCGCAAGGCTGGGCCCTAGAAATATCGCCCTCCACTTGACTCTAGACTCCCTACTCTCTCTCATCAACAACCTCCTCCCACCACCACGCAAACTCTTATATCCCAACGCGCATCTCTCATTTTCTGGATCTGATATCGCAGATAATATTCTCTCCTCTGTGTTGATACAGGATCCGACATTAAACGTTCTCGCGATAGATAGAGCTGTGCCCCGCTATTGACCGACCCCGCCATCAAATCCATCGACTTAACAATTTCCTCCACCAAACAAGCATCAAACGAACATCGAGGAAGTCGTTTGCTCAACGCCATGATGACTGGATCTGGTGATCAGACTCCAACGACAAACAAAGATGGCCGTTCAACAACGTTAAAATCATTGGGTCACGATATTGCGATCATACACTCCATGTCCATGCCATCTAAGCCCATCTCAATCATGGATAAGAATGAGCTTGGTGAGCATATTATCTATCGAAACGCCGTGATAGCTGATGCTAATGCAACTACAGTAAACCGCCTCTCATCCATCCACTCTGAAATCGGCAGTAATTCATCAAGTAGCACGTCGAGTGGTAGCACGACTCCTAGCCCGCCCGTTGACTCCCTTATCCTTGAACTAAGTTCTGCCAAAGATGATACTGGAATCGACGACGATGACGACGATGCTGCAAGTGACGCTGGATCCACCTGTTCTTCGACCTACGAATTTTCACAGGAATCCTTTGACACATTCAAGGATAAAGTCATCCAGCTTTGTCACGACATTGGCTATGGAGAACCTTCCCTAGTCGATCGCAGGGAAGGAGGCAGCTTCAACCGAATCATTGGCTTGATCTTTGGTTCTGAGAAGCATTCGAATTGCATTTTACGAATCCCCCGGTTTCCCAAGGATGATAACTGCGTGAACGATATCATCGACGAAGTCTCCATTCTCCAGTACATCAAGGGTCTCAACATAGTTCAAGTTCCATCAGTTCTAGCCTATGACTTCACCACGAACAATGCCCTCGAAAGCCAATATGTTCTCCAAGAACAAATTCCTGGAAAACAGATTCAGGAGGTTTTCTATAAGCTTCCCATATGCGAGAAACTTCAGATCACAACCCAAGTTGCTGAAATCATCACCAAACTGGAAGCAACTGTTTTGGAAAAGCCCGGACGTTTAATTGGTAAGCGAGATCTTCCCCTTGTCTCGACCGCGCATGCCGCTTCTGATGGGGATATTGTCATCACCGGTTATCGAAAGAATGGCATTTCAGATCTACCCATGGTTTCTCGGCAACCCATAGTACGATACATATGCGAACTTTTGGAACATCACAAGAATGGTTGGGATGGGTACTCTGATGTTGTAGAAATGCTAGACGAGCTCCAGACCGTGGCAAAACAAATGGCTAAGGCTGGTCTAATCCGCATTTATGACGATGAAAATGTTCTTTGGCACTGGGATATCAATTCTAGAAATATTTTGATTCAGCCCAAGACCGGAACCACCGAGGGCTCGTCGGTGGAGTGGGAAATCACCGGTGTGTTGGATTGGGATGATGCAAAGTCGGTTCCGTTGGTAATTGCGAGAAAACCTCCTTCTTGGATCTGGTTTGATGAAGAAATTCGAACTCGGCAATGGACGGGTGATAGAGACACCAAACCGGAACGAGATCTTACTGATGATGAGCTGCTTATCAAGGCGAAGTTTGATCAGATCATGACAAAGAACTCACCATCTTACATGGAGGATGCTTATCGCCGTGGTCCATGGTTGCGGAGATTGGCTTACTTTGCCTTCCATGGGTTCAAGGTCGCATGGGACTGGGATAAACAAAAGAAATTTGTGGAGCAATGGAATGAGTTTTATGAGTCGTTGAATTTGCCAGAATCCGACGATGAAGAGGGCTCGGAGGATGGATCACAGGATGGATCGGAGGATAGCGGGAATGAGGGGTCGAAGGATGACGAGGGTGACCAGAATAAGGATGATGGAGACGATGGCGATGATGATGTAGATGATGATGGAGATGACGTAGAGGTGGTTGGTAATTGCGCGTGAGTTGGTATCAGAGTTATGGATTTTCATGCATGATGGGTTGCTAGAGTAATTCTTTGGACTCCATGACGTAAATTATCTAGATATACATAAACACACAAGAATAAGACGTACGAATGACTATTTGTGGAAATGTGATAATGTGATCTGTTTCAATCCAATTCTTATAGTTTTTGGCGTAGAAAATTCGATGGTGAGAAGTCTAGTTGCTAAGCTACTTTGAAATTGTATCTAGTGTATTTACGCATTTACCATTTGTCTAATTGGCCGATTATCACACTATTCTATTGAGTTTTGGTGTTAGCCTATTGACATCAGGTAGCTTGTATAGCCAGTGAATATCCCTCTGGGAACTGCGTCAGGAAATACCTGACACCCAGCGGGCCGACCCGGGGTACAAAATCTTCCCTAACGCGTACTTTTCCTGATACTAACAGTGGCTGTTAAACCTTAAATATTCTACCAAAGACGTAGTTCTTTATTTACCTATCTACGCGTTTACTTGTTTATAGGCAGGGGAGGGAGAGAGAGGGGAAGGGAAGGGAGGGAGGGGGGAAGAGGGTAATAGGGGTATAAAAGAAGTAGAGACTTATAGGATAGTAAATTAGGAAAATACTTATAGGTAGGGAGGGANGAGGGAGAGAGAGGGGAAGGGAAGGGAGGGAGGGGGGAAGAGGGTAATAGGGGTATAAAAGAAGTAGAGACTTATAGGATAGTAAATTAGGAAAATACTTATAGGTAGGGAGGGACAGAGGGGGAGAAAGGGACAGGTGAAAACGACTAAGTACTTACAGGTACGGAGGGAGAGGGATAAGTGAAAACGACTATGTACTTACAGGTGGTTTACAGAGGCAAAGGGAGGGGGAAAGGCCTATATAGTATAGATAGACATCTTACGGAAAGCTTGGGTTATACTTAAACTCTCTTAAAAGGCTATTATCGGTTTCTAAAAGTATAATATTTTCTAGAGTACACTCTGTCCCTAGGATCCTACTTTTTTGTACTTAGTTTAGTTAGGAGTAGGTATTTCCTAACACCGTTCCTACTTTTTAATACCTAATTAGGATAGTATTAGGTATTTCCGTATAGTGTCAGGAAATGTCTAACACCGAGTTCCCAGAGTACGGCATCCCAAATCTACTGCTAAACCAGATAACTAAATCGCAAAAGTTGTATATTTACTACTACTATACCAGAGTGCCTATACCCCCACACCCCCACCCTCGCTTAAACTTCGTAGCCTTAAAACTTTTGTAACCGTGTGGAGTGAACCACTGCTTGCTGTGATGAATACGGAGTCAAACGGAAACTGCTGTATTGAGCGAAC